GGGGGGGGGTCTGTGGGGGAGGGGGCAGTGCACTCCAGAGAGGATCAGCAGAGTCAGAGTTCCCCCAGGTGAGGCCCTGTGGGTGGGGACAGACAGATGCTGCCTGAGGCCTCGCCCTCCTGACCCGCACTGGGCTGCTGCTTGGACCTGTCCCCAGGAGCTGCCTGACCAGGCCTCCAGCTGGCGTGCTGGGGTCCCCAACATCCTGCTGCATGAGGTTCCCAACGTGCCCCCATTATTGCTCCTGCCAGTTCCGGGCGTCCAAGCTGTCCAGGTGGGCGCCACGATGCTGGCTGGCTGGCTGAGGGACACTGAGGGGCTCCGCGAGCGCTTCCCACCCCTCCCCCGACTCCATCACCTGACGGGAGCCCTAGTGCAGAGGTCATGGGAGGTGTGGCACACACCCCCACAGGTTCCTAGGAACAGCCACAGGAGCCACAGGACAGCTTCTGCAGCAGCCACAACCCCGGGGTGGTGAGTGGGCGGGGCCGCGGAGCCCTGGGCGGGGCTATGAGGATGGGGCGGGGCTATGAGGGACGGGGTGGTGCCGCGGAGCCCTGGGCGGGGCTATGAGGGATGGGGCGGGGCTGTGAGCCCTAGGCGGGGCTGTGAGGGATAGGGCGGGGCTGTGGAGCCCTGGGCGGGGCTATGAGGGATGGGGCGGGGCTGTGAGCCCTGGGCGGGGCTATAAGGGATAGGGCGGGGCTATGGAGCCCTGGGCGGGGCTATGAGGATGGGGCGGGGCTGTGGAGCCCTGGGCGGGGCTATGACGATGGGACGGGCTGTGGAGCCCTGGGCGGGGCTATGAGAATGGGGCGGGGCTGTGGGGCCCTGGGCGGGGCTATGAGGGATGGGGTGGGGCTTTGGAGCCCTGGGCGGGGCTCTAAGGGATGGGGCGGGGCTGTGGAGTCCTGGGCGGGGCTCTGGAGCCCTGGGCGGGGCTATGAGGATGGGACGGGGCTGTGGAGCCCTGGGCGGGGCTGAGTATGGGGCGGGGCCGTGGAGCCTTGGGCGGGGCTATGAGGATGGGACGGGCTGTGGAGCCCTGGGCGGTGCTATGAGAATGGGGCGGGGCTGTGGGGCCCTGGGCGGGGCTATGAGGGATGGGGTGGGGCTGTGGAGCCCTGGGCGGGGCTATAAGAGATTGGGCGGGGCTATGAGGATGGGGCGGGGCTGTGGAGCCCTGGGCGGGGCTATAAGAGATTGGGCGGGGCTACGAGAATGGGGCGGGGCTGTGGGACCCTGGGCGGGGCTATGAGGATGGGGCGGGGCTATGAGGGATGGGGTGGGGCTTTGGAGCCCTGGGCGGGGCTATGAGAATGGGGCGGGGCTATGAGGGATGGGGTGGGACTGTGGAGTCCTGGGCGGGGCTACGAGAATGGGGCGGGGCTGTGGGACCCTGGGCGGGGCTATGAGGATGGGGCGGGGCTATGAGGGATGGGGTGGGGCCGCGGAGCCCTGGGCGGGGCTATGAGCGATGGGGCGGGGCTGTGGGGCCCTGGGCGGGGCTATGAGGATGGGGCGGGGCTATGAGGGATGGGGTGGGGCTTTGGAGCCCTGGGCGGGGCTCTAAGGAATGGGGCGGGGCTGTGGAGTCCTGGGCGGGGCTATGAGGGATAGGGCGGGGCTCTGGAGCCCTGGGCGGGGCTATGAGGATGGGGCGGGGCTTTGGAGCCCTGGGCGGGGCTATAAGTATGGGGCGGGGCTATGAGAATGGGGCGGGGCTGTGGGGCCCTGGGCGCGGCTATGAGGATGGGGCGGGGCTATGAGGGATGGGGTGGGGCTTTGGAGCCCTGGGCGGGGCTCTAAGGAATGGGGCGGGGCTGTGGAGTCCTGGGCGGGGCTATGAGGGATAGGGCGGGGCTCTGGAGCCCTGGGCGGGGCTATGAGGATGGGACGGGGCTGTGGAGCCTGGGCGGGGCTATGAGGGGTGGGCGGGGACATGGGGCTATTAATGATGGGGCGGGGCTGTGAAGGGCGAAGCTGTGAGTGGACTGAGCAGGGCTGTGGGGTGGGCCTTTGGAGGCTGAGCCGTCCTTGGGCACTGCAGGGGTTGGGGATGGGGTGGGGAGTGGGCAGGAATGTGGTCGGGTTGGGAAGGGTCTTGGGGGGCCACCGGGAGGGTGACGAGGACGGCTCGATGTGTTGGTGGGCGGGGCTGTCGAGGGTGGGCGGGGCCACGCGGGGCGGGGCTGTGGGTGGGGCGGCCAACAAGGGGCCGGAGCTAGAGCACAGCAGGCAGGGGCGGGCGGGGCCTCAGGGGAGGGCGGGCCTCAGCAGCGCGCAGCGTCCGTCCCTCTTCCCGCGAGTGCCCGGCCTGGCCGGCGTGTGCTCGCGCGGTGACGCGCACGTGTGCCCGTGTCCGCCGTGACGCAGGTCCCGCGTGCTCCTTCTCCTGTTCTCGGCCCCTCCCAGAGGCACCTCTCAGGTCCCCGGGTAGTCGCAGCGCTCCCTGCCCCTCCCTGCCGTAGGTCCACTGCCCTGGCCCTGACCCGGGCGTCCCCGCAGGGAGCTCAAGGGCTGGGAGTGGGAAGGGAAGGTGGCCCCGGCCCAGCTGCCCTGGACTTCGAGCTCCTGCCCTGCCAAGGCCTGTTCGATGAGTACTTGGAGATGGGTACGGGCTGGCCGGGGGCCCTAGGGCTCTGGGGGCAGCAGGCAGGGGTCCCGGGCAGAGGGCGGCAGGTGGGGGAGTCGCAGGTAGAGATTGTGGGCAAGTGGGGGTCCGGGGGACAGAGGGGTGGGTGGGGGTCCCGGGGGACAGTGGGGTTGAGTGGGGGTCCCGGGGAACAGTGGGAGTGAGTGGGGGTCCTGAGGGACGGTGGGAGTGGGTGGGGTCCCGGGGGACAGTGGGGGCGGGTGGGGGGTCCCGGGAAACAGAGGGGGCGGGTGGGGGGCCCCGGGCGGGGTCCCGGTCGCTGATCCCGGCTGTCCCACGGTGCTGCGTCCGGCTTGGTCACCATCTTCGTGCCCTCCTGGTGCTGCAGCTGGACACGCACAGACGCGTGTGTGAGCCGCAGGTGGCCGAGCCTGGGCCCGCGTTCTGCGTCCTGGGGCACCTGGCGGTCATCGGCAAGGTGAGGGAGGGCGCGCTGACCACGGCCCCCGGGGGTGCCTCCCTCCTCCCCTTCTCCAGCTTCTGCTGCGGCTGGAGCTGGCTCGCACCTGCGCGGCTTCGTGGACTTCACCCGGCACGCACTTCCTGCCCTTGACCCGGCCCACAAGCATGTGCAGGTGAGGGGCGTGGCCTGAGACAGGTGAGGGGTGGGGCCTGGAGGGTGAGGGGCGGGGCCCGGGGCAGGCGAGAAGCGTGGCCTGGCAGGTGAGGGGCAGGGCCTGGGACGGTTGAGGGGCGGGCCTGGGTACAGGTGCGGGTACATGGCCTGGGATAGGTGAGGGGCAGGGCCTGGGACAGGTGAGGGGCATGGCCTGGGACAGGTGAGGGGCATGGCCTGGCAGGTGAGGGGTGGGGCCGGGGACAGGTGAGGCTGTGGACTGAGCACAGGCAGGGCAGTGACTGGGAGGTCCCTGGGTTCCGCAAAGCAGAAGAGACACCTCATTCCGCGGGAGCTGTTTGAACTACCGAGTTTGAACTCCCTGAGCTCAGGGGTCTCCAGAGCACGGAAGTGCTCTGAAATGGAACAGCTCAAACGCACCCAAGCATGAGGCCTGCCCACTTCAGCGCCCAGGGCCGTGGGCTTGGGCCCGTTCTTCTTTCCCCCGCAGCGTTCCTTTCCCTTTGTGCTCAGGGATCACTCCTGGCAGTGCTCCAGGGGCCCAAAGCCGTGTGTCTGCCACGTGCAATGCAAGCGACCCGTCCCTTGGCTCTTTCTAGGATGATGTGAAGTGCTTGCCTGCCTGGGTGTGACACAAGCCTGTCACAAAGCAGGCTGTCGTGCGAGAGAGATTGCTGGCACGCGGCACTTGCCTTGCATGGAGGCTGCCTGACCTGGGTCTGATCTCCGGCACCTCACGTGCTTCCTTGAGCCTTGCCAGGAGTCAGCCCTGGGCATCAAGCGTGGGGGCTCCTCCCCTCCCCCATTATTGGAGAGTCACTTCTCGCCAAAGGCAGAGCAGCTGGTCTAGAAAAGTGAGTTGAGCCCTGCAGGCATTCAGGAGAGCTGGGCCAGTCTGAACCAGCAAGCTCAGACCGCTCTGGGGGCGCAATGGGACCCAGGAGGAGGCACTGGGAGGACCCCCCTCTCCTGCAGGTGTGAAGCTTCCAGGACCCTGAGGGACACCATTCTCGGAGCTGGACTCCCTGGCCTTCATCCTGGTGTTTTTGATGGCCACAGCACGACCCGATCCCACTGCTGTGCCCCCAGGCCTCCCTCCAGGCGCTGCCTGAACTGCCACGGTCACGCGGAGTGTGGGGTCAATGCAGCCCAGGGTCAGGGCCCTGCACCCACACACTGGTGCCAGCCGCGAATGTAACAGTTCTCCCGCGCCCGGGACCTCTGGGCTGTCCCCGGAATGGCGGCCGGGGGTGGCAGCTCCCACCTTTCCTTCCTGCTGTAGCTCCGCTCTGTGCCTGGCCCACGAGACCCTGCTGGGTGTGTCCTTCATGGCGCCTCTGTCCAGCACGCGGTGCTTGGAGCCGTCTTCTTGACCTCCCGGTCCCCAACACCCCCAGGTCAGTGCAACCGAGATGAAGCGTGGGCAGTACCTGCCGAGGAGGTGGGCAGGTGAGTCTCCCCTGCCGCCCGCCACTCTTTCCCGGGCAGGTTCTCAGCTCAGTCCAGCCTGGCCACGCAGCCCTGGCTCTGCCTCCAGACCAGCACGCGTCTGTCCGCTGCTCTGAGCCGCACAGCCACCTTGTCTCCCTTCCCTCTTCCCGGGAGATGGGGTCAGGCCCTTCCCGCGGGGTCCAGCGGCAGCTGTCCTGCCCCATCCCGGAGCGTGAGAAGCGTGAGCGAAGGCCGTGACAGGTCGTGCCGGCTTCCTACGCTGGCACCCACCTGGCAGGCACCCGTGGGTAATAAAATGAGTCTTGACACATTCCATCTAGTTTCAGGTTTTTATTTTAGAATTTATAAAATTCCAGTGTCATCCGTATGCACGAGCCTTTACACACGTTTGCATATAATCTCCAAATTCCAGAGTAAGGCCAAGGGATGGGTGAGCTGTGGGCACATGGTGTGGAAGATGACGGACGGGACACACGGGCCCCAGCCCAGCCCAGCCACCTCAGAACCTGCACAACCCCCACGCAGGGAGCAACGCCCCCCGGGGCTCAGGAACGGGGTCTGCACACGGCAGAGCTCCCCGGGAGAAGGAAGTGACTTGGCTGGGGCTGGGGATGAAGACAAGGGCAGCAGGAGGGAGGGGGCCCAATCCCGCAGGGCTGCCAGAGGGAGGCGGCTTCGTCCGGGCTGCCCAGGAGATGCGCTTCCTCCCTCAAGGCTGCTGAGGCTAGACTTGGGCGAAGCAATTCTCGCTCTCCTCGGGAGCCCCCGAGTCTAACCCTCACCAGGCTTCGGGTACTGAGCCGAGACTGCGCACGAGTGGGGTGGAATGGAGAGGTCGAGCACAAGTGACCGCGACCCAGGAGGGAGGCGTGGCGGGCCCGAGCGGGGAGGGCAGAGGCCCACGTGGGGCCTCGCAGGCCCCAGACCCCACCCCGAGCTCTCCCCGCCCAGGGCGGCCCTCACCCAGCCAGTGGGCCCAGCACGGCCCCCTCGGCAGCACCTGGCCGCTGACCCCTGCCGGGACACCAGGCTTCCTGCCCCCAACGCTGCTCAGCCCCTGGGCCCACACCCGCGAGAGGCTTCGAGCAGCGCCACGGCGGTGAGGTAGAAAGGAGGCAGCATGGGCCGCAGGGGCGTGAGGACCGAAGGCCGCGAGCGGGCCGGCCCCTCCCTGCAGGCTGCGCCCACGGCCCCCAGCCCTGTCCGGCTCTCCAGGGCGTGAGCCGGAAGGTGCCGCTGCGTCCTAGGGAGGGTCTGGGCGACAGGCAGGGGGCAGAGGGGTGGGAAAGGAAGAGGAAAACGTTTTGGCTTTCATAAAGTCAAGGAAATTTATTTCCTGAGGTCATAACACAGGAAGTGGACGCGCCACGGCAGCTCGCCCCAGCGTGGAGGCGGCCTGGCGGACATGCTGGGTGGACCAGGGAGCCGAGAGTGCGTGTGCGTGGTGGCGTGGCCGGGCCCGTTAGTGTTCACGCCGTGCGGGCGGCCCAGCGCCTTCACTGTGAGACCTCGGGGGAGGGGCAGCAACAATGGACGGGGCAGCCGCTGGTCAACGGGCGCCGGCCGACCGCGTGGTGTCGGGCGGTCAGCAGCTGGGGGCCGCGCTCCGGTCATTATCGCTTGGGGCCCCAGGGGAGGGTCTTGGGGGCCACCTGAGCCCCAAAGCTGGGAAACTCCTCGGAGCTGCTCATGTCCGGAGCCTGTGGGGAGGGCACAGGTCAGAGGCCGCCAGCCCAGCCGGCCCCACCCAGGCCCAGGGCAGCCGCCCGCTGACCTTCTCGCTGCTGCTGGCGGTCCAGGGGGCGTCTCTCACCACGAAGCCCTTGGAGGGCGCCCTGGCCTCCTCGTGGGCCGGGGGCTTCAGGTACACCTGCAGGGCCTCACTGTCCACCACGTCGGCCAGCTGTGGGCACAGCGGTGAGGCGGCAGTCCGCGGCCCGGGGGGCGCCCCACCCCACCCCCACCCCCGCGCCCCACTCACGTATTCCTCTTCCAAGTTGAGGATGTGGTCGATGGCCTCCTCCACGTTCTCGGGGAGGCCGGTCACCGTGACGCAGTTGGGGTCCGGGGCGCCGCTCTGAGGGAAGCGGATGTCCACCTGCAACCATCACACACGGCGCTGGCCAGCCGCCACCACTGGAGCCAGGGCCGCAGAGTCCGGCCAGACCCGGGACCCAGGAAGGCGGATCCATAGAGCGCAGGAAGGCAGGTCACCTTGAACTCGTCCATGATCTTGCGGATGGCCTTGCCCCGGGCCCCGATGATGCGGGCGTGGACACGGTGGTCCAGGGGGACGTCCTCAGAGACCATCTGCTCGAGCTCACCCACGATCTTCAGGATGGCTTCCCGGGCGGCCTCTGTGTTCTTCTCGTAGCCCGTGATGGTGATCTGGTCCTGCGGCTGGGAGAGGCGGGGACAGGGGCCGGTCAGCTGCCTGGCCACGCCCTGAGGACGGGGCCTGTGAGAGGGGGACAGGGAGCAGGGACACACAGCTGGAGAGGCGACAGGGCGACGGAGGCCCGGACACTCCGGCCCTGGGGACCGGCCCCACTCTGCAGGCAGAACCTGATTCCGGCACTCGGCCTGGTCGCGGAGCAGCGGGACCCGGGGTCCTGGGAAGTGCCAGGATGCCCCCCCCCCCAGCCTCACCTGGCTCCCGTCATCCTTGTCTGGAAACTGGATATTTACGTCGTGCTCCAGGCGGATCTGCGTGATCACAGCCCCCTTCCTCCCGATGATCTTGGGGTGGTACTTGGGGTCCACAGTGACGCTCAGCTTGAAACTCCTGAGCGCCTACAGGTGAGCGAGAGGTGAGAGCGCGGAGAGGCTCCGCCCGCATGGCCCCCGTCACATGCCCGAGAAGGCCCAGGCCCAGTCCCGGTGGGAGCGGCCGAGGGCCCCAGCCACAGGGAGGCTCCAGGCTCAGATCCCCCTCCTGCCTCGGGGCAACAACCGGGTGCCCGCGGCCTGCCTGTGCCTCTCACCCGGTCCTCCTGCTCTGCCTGCAGCTCCTTCACGCGCTCCAGCAACCCCGCCTTGGCGCGGTCCAGGTGTGCGGCGAGGCCCGTGATGGCCACGCTGTCCGACTGCAGCTCAGGGGGGGGCACGTGGATGTTCACCTGCAGGGGTGCGGCTCATCAGGGGTCTGCCCGCTCGACCCCCGCCCGCGCCGAGGGGCTCACCGCACACCCCACGCCCGTACCTCAAACTCGTCCATCATCTTGCGGATGCCGCTGCCTTTCTGCCCGATGAGGTACCGGTGAAGGTCAAAGGGCACCTCCACTTCGATGGTGACAGGGACCAGCGCCTGCAGGGACACGGGGTCAGGCCCGAGCCCGCCCACGGTCACGCGTGCTCCCCAGAGCGGACGCCCAGAGAGGAGGGGCCTCACGACACAGCCAGCCCGGCCGGCAGCCCCTCCCAGGCCAGCCCCGTGCCCACCTCCAGAGCTTCCTTCGCAGCCTCGCACTTCTCCTTGCGCCCAGAAATGATGATGATGTCGCAGCGCCGTGGGGAGCCCGGCTCGGCCTCGCGGCCGCCCCCACCATCATCGCCGTTCTCCTGCACGGCTGGCTCCACGCTGGGCACTGTGGAGAGGGCCGGCGTGGCGCTGAGCGGGGCAGGAGGTGGCCGCACGCTGCCAGGCTCGGCAGAGGCCGGAGGCCACAGTGCACAGGAGCCGCCCAGCCCTCCACCCCACGGCAGGCCGGGACCTCTGTGCGGGCACGACACGCCCACCTGGGTTCTCCTCTCTGTCTGGGAACTTGATCTGCACGTTGTGGTCTCGGGTGATCTGCTGGATCCGGCAGCCCTTGGGGCCCATGACGGAGCGGTGGAACCTCTGGGGAATGGTGCACTCCAAGGTCACCTGGGCCTCCTGCGGGCGGGCGAGGGCAGAGTCGCAAGGCAGGTCTCCCCGGCGGCCCCGGGACCCGTGCCCAGGCGCGCCAGGCACCCACCAGGTCCTCGATGATCTCCTGGATGCGCCTCTTGGCCGCCTCCACGCAGTCCTTGGCGCCCTTGAGGGTGACCTTGTCGCTCTGGGTGCCCGAGCGCGGGAAGCTCACCATCACCCCACCGTACTCGTCGGCGATCTCCCGCAGCACCTGGCCTCTCCGGATGACGAAGTGCCGGTGGTGCTTGGGGTCCACCAGCATGGAGTCCTCCACCACATTCTCCTGCGGAGGGGCGGGGCAGGGCAGGGCAGGGCAGGGCAGGTCAGGTCAAGGCAGGCCAGGGCCGTGCCAGCCGCCCGCAGCCCGGGAGCCAGAGCCCGGCACCCACCAGGCTCTGGATCAGCGCCTCCAGCTCCTTCTGGGCCTCGCGCACGGCCTCCTCCTTCCCGACGATGGTGATCAGGTCCTGGTCCTTGTCCTCCGCGGTGGGGAAGATGACGCGGGCGCCCGTGCTGTCCCGCACTTTGCGGATCTTGCCGCCGCCTTTGCCGATGAGGAACTTGTGGTACTCGGGCTTGGCGCGGATGTCGACGGTGAAGCTCTTGGTTTGCTGCACACGAACAAGCACCTCGTGTGTCGGCCAGGGCCCAGCCCTGTGTCCACCCCGTGCCAGCCAGGAGCAGCGCTGACCCCGGGTCCCCCGTTACCGGCCCTCCACACCCCCCAGCCGCCCTCCTGGGAGAGTGAGAGAGCAGCAGGAAGTCAGCCCAAGGCGGGCGGGAGAGAGCACAGCAGGAGGGCGATGGCCCGCACACAGCCACCGGGTCTGACCTCCGGCCACGCAAGGGCCCCTGGGCCTGCCGGGTGACCCGAGTGTGAGCCGGGAGCCAGCCCTGAGCACCACCGGGCGTGACCCACAAAGCAGAGCAGCTGCCGGGCCAGCGCACGAGCCCGACCGGCCCCACAGAGGGACAGGACGAGGCGCAGCCCTGGGCGAGCAGATGGGAGGCACAGCCAACGAGCGCAGGCCCCGGCCCCGGCCCCCGGCGAGGCAGGCAGCGTGCCAGAATCGGCCTTTCCCGTGGGGTCACGGGCGCAGGCCCGAGCTGATGTGCAGGCCGGCCCTTACTCACCCCAGCGAGACTGTCCGTGACGGAGACGTTCCCTTCCCTGCGACCCCCTCCCCGCCCCACCCCCACAACACAACTAACAATCCACACAGGCAGGGAAGCCGGGAAAGAAGAATCAGTTCGTATTTGGGTGCTCCCTCCAAATAAAAAGGGAAAAAAGGAGAAAAAAAATGGGGGCTGGAGGGAGAGCACAGCGGGGAGGGCATTTGCCTTGCACGCAGCCGACCCGGGTTTGATTCCCAGCATCCCTTATAGTCCCCTGAGCACAGAGCCAGGAGTAACCCCTGTGCATCGCCAGGTGTGACACAAAAAGGAAAAAAAAAGCAAAAAAAAAAAGGAGGCGTGGGGGCCGGAGCAACAACACAGTGGCGGGGGCGGGTTTGCCTTGCACGTGGAAGACCCGGTTCAATCCCCGGCATCCCACAGGGTCCCTGAGCACCGCCTGGAGGGGCGTCTGGCTGCAGAGCCAGGAGTAACCCTGGACATCACCAGGTGTGACCCAAAAAGACAAAAACCAAAATAAACCAGAAACAGAACAAAACGCCAACTCTCTGTTCTCCTGGGGTGCTCGAGAGGAAGAGCCGAGAACCCAAGGACAAGCGAGCTGAGGCCACGCACGGAACGCCGTCGACATGCCAAGCAAAGAGTTTCTTCTCCACACGCGCCGCCAGCCGGGAGGAGAAACGAGAGCCCTTCCCACAGCAGCGGACAGACGTGCCCACCAACAGAGCGGGCAGCCCGCGGACAGGGACAGGCCCCGGACGGAGACCAGCCGGGCCGGAGCGCAGAGCCGCGAGCCTCCGACGTGACCTTCAGACGCGCCACAACGGCAGCCGAAGCCCGGGAGAGGCGGGGAGAGGCCAAAGCCCTGCCAGGGTGCGGGTGTGCGGCGGGCCCATGGGGGCTGGGGTGGCGAGGCCCACCTTCTCCTCTGCCAGGTGCAGGAGCTGCTTCTTGGCCTTCTCCACGTCCGAGGCCGGGCCCCTGATGACCACCGTGTCGCTGCCGGAGCCCTCCACGGGGAAGTGGATGTGCACGCCACCGCACTCCTCCATGATGGAGCGGATGAGGCGGCCCTTGGTGCCGATGAGGGAGTTGTGCAGCCGGGCGGGGATGGAGACCTCCAGCTCGGCGATGTTGGCCTGCGGGGCACCACAGGGCTCGTGAGCACCGGGCGGGACTGGGCCGAGACCCTCCAGAGGCCTTCACCCCCTCTCCAGGGAACGGGCAAAGCAGCAAGCCCGGGCGGGGGGAACAGGTCCCAAGGCCGCCCGAGGCCCTCCCCTGGGCAGCGCCCACACCGCCCTGAAGTAGGTGCTCAGGGGACAGAGGGAGGCCCCCAGAGGCTGAGGGGCAGACCCCGGGATGGGCATGGAGGGACGCAGGGCTCGGGGAGCGTCCGTCTCCGGAACACGCCAGCACCCGCCAGAAGAGATACGGACGCCCGTGGGAGCGGCCACACCCACACAGGAGGGAGAGGCAGGGCCGGGCGTGGGACGGCGAACACAGCACCCCTCGACTCAGAGCGAGCCCAGCACCTGGGACCCGCCACCGAGGGCCCGGGAGACGCCAGCCCCAGCGCATATTCGGCCTGAACACGGAGCGGGAACAGGCTCTGAGCAGCCTCGGCGCCAACCAAAGCTGCCACGCCAAGAGCAAAAGGAGCCGATTTCCGGACACGAACCAGGAGCGTGAGGGATGGGAGCGAGCGCGCTCAGGCCAGAAAGGGGGCCAGGCCCCGCGGCGAGTCTGCCGTCCAGGGGACGGCGTCACTGGCCCGCCACCCGCAGCGCCAGGGCTGGGGGGCCCAAGGGGAGCAGAGGCCACGGGCCTCCGGTCAAGCTCCAGCCCCGCGACACCACGGTACCAGGTCCTTCTGGATGGACAGGATGCGGCTCCGGGCGGCCTCGCAGTTGGCCCTCTTGCCCGTGATGACGATGGTCTCGGAGTTGCTGTTCTCGGCTGGGAGGTCGATCTTGGTGTTGCTCTCCTCTCGGATCTAGGAGCCAGAGGGGCAGTGCGAGGTGACTCCCCCCGCCGCCAGCCCAGTGGGGGAAGCGCAGGCGGCCCCCTCACCTTCTTGATGTTGGCGCCTCCCTTCCCGATGATGTTCTTGTGGAACTGCTTGAAGATCGGAACCGAGATGGAATAGCTGTTCTCCACCTTGGACAGAAGGGGCGGTCAGGGACGCAGGCCCCGCCAGCAGACCCACGCGTCCAGGGGCACTCCCGGAGCACCGCGGGCAGTCTGCGACGCTGCCTTGAGTCCTGGGCGCCTACCAGGTCTGCCACCATCTTCTGCATGTACTTGGTGCACTTCTCCACCTCGTTCTTGGGCCCCCTGAGCTGGACAATGTCACTTTTCTGTGCTGGGTCTGGAAAGTTGATGATGACCTAGAAGGAACCACGAGGAGGGCGTGACGCGGGCCCAGGGCACAAGAGCCAGACCCCACTCCCGGTCACGGTCGGAGTCAAGAGCCCGTCTGCACCCACCTCTGGGAATTTGTCGCGGATCTCACGGATGCGTTCGCCCTTCTGCCCGATGATCGTGCGATGGAATCTCTGCTCGATGATCAGATCCTTGGTGCGCTCGTTCTCCTGCAGAGACGCGCGTGAGGGTTCACCCCGACGGACCCCCACCCCTGCCAGTGGCCACGCCAGCCTGTGCCCTGCAGACCCTTGGGTAGGACTGTCCACACCCCAGGGCCAAGGGAAAGGTCAAGAATGGGTTCGACACGGGCACTGCAGCTCGCCTCAGCCGAGGCTCAGAGGGTGGAGGGTCCAGCACAGAGAGGGGCTGGTCACGCCCCCCCCCCCAGAGTCCCCCAGGTGAATCACTGGGGCCCTGAGAAACACCCTCCCCTCCCCTCCCCTCCCCAGCACCAAGGGAGGGAGGAGCGGCCATGCAGCTGCCCAGTGACCCCGGGGCAGAAGGCTGGAGACACTCGGGGGCCTGCAGGGGACAGCAGCTGTGGCCCTGCCCCCACGCTCACCATGCGCGAGGCCAGCTCCAGCAGCTCCCGCTTGGCCTGCTGCACGCCCTGGGGGTCGCCCTCGATGCGGACCAGGTTGCTCTTCTCGCTGTCGGGGGGGATGCGCACGGACACCTTGTACTGGTCTTTGATTCTGTTGACTGAGAGGAGGCGCCTTTCAGGGGAGGCCCGGCCCCCGGCCCCGCAGCACAGGGAGGGGGCTGAGGGTCTGGGGGCTTCTCCGTGGAGCCGCGCCTGGGAAGGGCTGCCCTCGTGTCTAACAAATGGGAGCGACACCCCCCAAGGGAGCGGCAAACACCAGGGCGACCCCTTAAAACTCAGCCCGCGCCGGGCGGGGACAGAGCCACCGGGCCTGAGGCTGCCCGCTGAGGCTGGCTGTGCTCCCAGCCGCGCCCACACCCGGGCTGCGGGCACCAGTCCTGGCCCAGCATCGCAGGGGAGTGGCGACCCGACCATCCCCGAGACCACGCAGCAGGGAGAGCACTTGCCTGGCGCGCGGTCAGCCTGGGCTCAACCCCAGCAGGCCACATGGCCTCCTGAGCACTCGGGAGTGACTCCTGAGTGCAGAGCCAGGAGGAACCCCCGGCACCGCCCAAAACAAACCAAACCCAAACTCAAAAGGGAGCTAGCGCCCCAGGCCCCGGGCTGGGCTACGGGCAGCTGTGAGTGTGAATTCTCCATTCTCCCCACCACAGCCAACGGGAGCCGCCAGCTGACGCCCACCAGGCAGTGGGGAGAGGTCCGTGCAGACGCCAGGACCCCCAACCCGCCCGCCCCACTCACTGTTGGCGCCGCTCTTCCCAATGAGGTGTCTGTGGAACTTGTGATCGATGCTGATCTCCACATAGTCCATCCGGCTGACCTGCGAGGAGCCGAGGTCCTGGGCATGAGCCAGGCGGGCAGCAGCCGGGAGCGGGCAGCCACCTCCCCGGGGCGTCCGAGCACTCACCAGGTCTCTGACCATGGCCTCGATCTGCTCCTGGGCCACATTCACCTCTTCGGTGGGGCCTTCCAGCGTGATCTTGTCCTCCCCCTCGGTGAACTCGATGTGGACCTGCCGGGACACCGGGGCCATGGCGCTGGGGACAGAGGCTCGGGCAGTGGCGCCGGGCTCCACGGCGCTAGACAGTGTGGCACCCGGGCTGACCACCCCGAACACTCCCCCGCGTCCGGTCTGCTTCACATGGAGCTTCGGGCTCCTGGGGACAAGCACCCCGCTCAGAGCTACAGCAGCAAGACACCCACCGCCAGCCCGGACACGACCTCTGCTCTTGACGCTCGCACGCGGGACCTGCGAGGCTCTTTCTGAGAGCAAGGCTGCAGCCCAGCCTCCAGTCGAGAAAGGAGGGAAACCTCTCCCTTTCTCGCAGGCGTGTTCTGCGCCTCTCCTGGCTGTGCTCAGGGCAGCCCACGGGTGCTGGGTCGGCAGGGTCCTCTCTCCCGCCCCAGGAACCCTCTCGAGCGACACTCTGCTCTTCCTAGCCAATTCGGAGCTGCCTCACAGCAGGCAAGTTTCGAAACCCGAGCCAGCCCTCCAACGCAGCGCCAGGCGGACACACGGCACCGCGGACACGGGGCTCACCGCTGCCCAGGACCCTACCTTTGGCATCTGCTGAGTGATTTTGGCCAGGTTCTGCCCTTTCTTGCCAATGATGAAGCGGTGAAGCCAGGCCGGGGCCGAGATGCAGGAGACCGTGAAACTGTTGGCCTGGGGGGACACGGGACTGGGTGAGCGGGCCTGGCCCTGCCCGGCCCTGCCCGCCCTGGGCCGCCCGCCGGCACACACGCTACCTTGGCGTAGACCTCGGTCAGCGCCTGCCCCAGCTTCTCAGGCTCGCCCCGAAGGATGACGGTCTCGGAGGCGCTGTCGGAGGGTGGGATCTCCACCGACACGCCCGTCCGCTCCAGGATCTCCTGCAGGGAGTTGCCCTTGGGCCCGATGACGTACTTGTGCTGCGATTTCTTCACTTCCACCGCGATGGTCGTGGTCTTCTTTTTCTAAGTGGGAGCACAGCAGGGCGCAGGGGGAGCGGGCATGAGGGGAGGGAGGCCCGGGCTCCAGGCGGCAGCTGTGGGTCCCCGAAGCCGGCCTGTCCCCGGAGACCGTGCAGCCCCCGACCCGGGGAGCCCGCCGCCCTCCCGCCCGCTACCTTCTCCTCATAAATCTTCTTGATGCGCGCCACAGCCTGCGCCAGCTGCTCCTTCTCGCCTGTGAAGACGATCTCGGTGCGGTTGACGCCGGGCGGGGGGATGTTGATGCGTGTGCCCGTCTCCTGCATGATCTCCCCGACGAGCCGGTTGTAGGGTCCCGCGATGAAGGGGTGGAAGGCCTTCTCCACCTCCAGCCGCTCCACCGCACGCTTGTCCTGGGGAGAGGGTCTGTGAGCAGAGCCCGGCCGTCGGCCGACAATCCCCCCCCACCCCCCCGCCCCAGGCGGACGCTGGGCACCCACCTGCTCGGCAGAGATGAGCAGGACCTCGTGGCGGGCCTTGTCGATGCCCTCCTTGGTGCCCGTGATCCGGATTTGGTTACTGGCGTCGTCTGGGCGTGGGATCTGAATTTTGGTTGCCGTTTTTAGCTCCAAGTCTTGCAGTTTCTCCCCATTCTTACCGATGACAAAGCGGTGGTGTTCTTTGGGAATGGCGACGGTGGCTGAAGCCTAAGGCAGAAGCAGCAGCACCTGTGAGATTGCCGCAGAGAGACCCAGAGGCTGCCTCGGCCCCCTGCTGGACGCCCGCCTGGCTGGGGGGACCTTCCAGGGCGTCACCGTCCAACCCCTTCTCATCGGTCACAAGGCAGCTCCATGCCCGTCACTGGGGCCAGTGTTTCTGGGACAGGCAGGAGGAACCCTGACCCAAGCCCGAACTCCGCTTCCTTCTTACGACTTAAACCACGAGACAATTCAAACTAGGAAAGAAAATGAAAATGATCCAAGCCCTACAATCGGAGAATGGAAGCACCAGAAATGAAGCAACTTCCTGAGGTCACAAAAGCAACGTGGGAGGCAGCTCCCTGCGCAGGAGCAGGGCGTCCCCAGGAAGGGAGGCCCACACCTGCAGGGCCTACTTCCCGCCAACGGCAGAGCACCGGCTTGCTCGCTGGAGGAGTGAGGCGTATTTAAAAAGGAAAAAGGACACATCTGGAGCCCAGGACAGCAGGCAGGGCACCTGCCTTGCATGCAGCCAACCCGTGCTCTATCCCTGGCACCACATCGGGCCCCCACGTCTGCCATGGCTAATCCCTGGGCGCAGAGCCAGGAGCACGTTCTGAGCATTGCTGGGTATGACCCCAAAACAAAACAAAAGGTACAAATTAGGGAACCCACTCATTTCATTTGTCCTATGCGAACTCGAAGGAGAAGACTCCAAAAACCCTCTTCAAAGCCTGACCCACCTGTCTCCAAACCAGCGGCAGGAGCGCCCTGACTGCAGGACGCAGGGAGCGGGCAGACTCCTGCCCGGCACAGGCCAGCCCCCGAGGATCCCTGACTGCACCTGCAGCAGCAGGGAGAGAACAAACCGCTATGCGGCGGACGACAGAGCCCCCACTGCCGACACGAGTCGCAGGAAAGGACAGAGCCACGTGGCTGGACACAAGCCCCTGCGCGGCCAGCCACGAGCCAAGCGCCTGACCCCCGACAGCCTCGCCGGCCCTGAAGTTGTGCTTTTGGCAAGCCGGGCGGGCAGGAGAAGGTGCCAGGAGCCAGCGGAGGTATAAGCACCCACTGTGGCCGCCCGGCGAGAGAAGGGGCAGGCTGGGCCTGCAGGGCGCCTCAGGCCAGACACGACCTAGACACTGCCAGGTACGGCCCTGCCATCACTGAACAGGCCTTCTCTCAGCCCAAGCGAGTGACTTCCTGACTCTGAAGGTCCAAATGAGACTGACAAACCGGCACAGCAGCGAGCTGGGGATGCACGTGTGACACAGATGGTGGACGAGGGGGTCCTAGAGAGCGCGAGACCTGCCGGGCAGGGACAGACACCCCCGCGTGCAGATGCATGTCGCCAACCCCGTTGGGCCAGCCACCCGGAGGAACTGGGCATACGCGCAGCTGCTTCCTTCCCGGGGTCTGTCCGTAGAGGGACGTCATCCTTGGGCCTGCTGCCGCCTCGCAAGGCAGTGCTGCCCACAGCAGTGCCCAGTCCAGGGCTCTTCAATCAGAGAACGAGGGTGAAGCCCACGCTCGGCCTGAAGAGATGATGCCGGCAAATGACTCCCACGGGGACAGGCAGATGCTCGGAGGGCGCCCACGGGGCCCCCAGGAGGACCCACCAGACTCTCCACGACACAGTGGGGCCAGCAGGTGCCATTCATCGCCCGGCCACGCTGGCACCGGCATCAAGACAGTGCCAGACACCAGGCCCCAGGGCACGCTCCTGCTGCTCTCACGAGTCCCACCATGGGCCCCCCTCACCAGAGCTCCCTCGTGCAGGATCACGCTCAGTCCAGGTGAACACGAAGCTCAGGGTTTTTGTCTTCTTTTATTTTTTTGCTTTCTGGGTCACACCCTGAGATGCACAGGGGTTACTCCTGGCTCTGCACTCAGGAATTACTCCTGGTGGTGCTTGGGGGACCACATGGGATGCCGGGGATCAAACCCAGCTCTGCCGCATGCGAGACAAACGCCCTACACACTGTGCTACCACTCCAGCCCGTTTCTTCTTTTAGTTTCTTGGCCACACCCAACATCACTTAGGGAACCACATACAGTGTCAGGCATCGCAACCCAGATTGGCTGCACGCAAGGAAAGTGCCCTACCCACGGTACGATCTCTCCAGTCCCCCAGGAACCTATTTTAAGTGCTGTCGCTTAGGCAAAAATGCATCACTTAAGTTCACCTACTTATTCTAAGGGTCCCCAAGTAAATTCCAGACCCGGTATTCAAGTGCTTGGGATCAGGGAGCTAGCTAACCGGCTCAGAACAAAGTGCCCTGGCCGCGGGCCCCGGGCCTCCCCTGTGCGTGCCCGCCCCAAACCCATAAAGCAAGCGAACTGCCTGAACTTTCCCTACACCGCTGGGGCTGAGATGTGCAGTGAGGGCAGAAGCACGCCCGGAACTCCCCCCGGGCAGGGCTGACCGAGGCCCGAGGCACCCAGAGCAAGACCGACCCGGAAGTCATCTCGCCCACTTGCGCTTTGATCGAGCGGCTCGGAGGCAGGCAGCCATCCGATCCCTGAACCGTGCAGCTGCCCCAGCGGGGGGGCTGAGGCCGGCCCAGGACACCCACCTGGGTCTGCAGCCGAGCCACGATGTCCTTCCGGGCCTTCATGACGGCGTCCAGCTTCCCTGAGACCATGATGGAGAGGCCCTGATCCTTGGCAAGAGACAGCTCCAGGTGAGCGCCCGTCCTCTGCATGATCTCGAGGCAGATCTTGGCTTGTTCCCCTTCTCCAAACTGGTTCATGTCCTTGTACTTCCTCTCCTCCAGAGGCACGTGGAACACCTGTCGGCGTGAGGACCGGGGGAGTGATGCGGGGAGCACCGCCGCCCCCTGTGGGCACAGCAGAGGTGCAAGGCTGCTGCAGTCACACATCATGTGCCTCAGAGGGCCCAGGTAACCGGACGGGGGAGCCAGGGGACCCTCCAGGAAAGCCCAGGGGTGCTGAGCCTGGCCTGTGGCCAGCAGGGAGGTGGGTTGTTGGAGGGCGGCACGGGGAGGGGCAGTCCACCGGGCCATTTTCAGGAAAGTGAAAGGTCAGGAAGGTTTAGGCCCAAGGACAGGCTGAGAGCCCTGGTCACTCTGGTGGAGTGAGGAATTGAGCAGAGGGCGAAACAGAAGAACCACCAGACAGACCAGGCAGCAGCTGGTGGGAGCCGGCTCAGGGAGGGCCTGCAGGGTCCCGACGGCCAGGAGCCACGAGCGCCCAGACCCACGTGGTGTGTGCGAGGGAAACTGTGAGGTATGTGGGCGGGGGTGTGATATACACGCGTGTCTGAACGTGTACGCGCATGTTAGAGGACATGTATGTGTGCATGTGCGTGTTCACATGTGAGTGTATGTTTATGTATGTGTGCATGTGCGAGAGTACGTGAGCAGGTGTGCAGGTGAGCGCACAAGTATACGCCTATGTGTGAGTCCATGTGCGAGTGTACACGGGTGTGAGCGAGCGAGCAAGTGTGCGGCAGGCAGGCAAGCCTGCCTCCAGCTGGTGGGACGGGGGAAGGGAAGAGGCAGGCAAGCTCCGCTCTGTTCTTGTGGGCCGGAGCCAGCCCTGCTCCTGGCGCTGGTGGTGGAGCACGGGCGTCCAGGGAGGGAGGAGGGCAGGGCGGAGGACAAAGTCCCCTGGGGGGTCTCACCTGGGTGATGACGGAAGCCTTGATGGGCCGGATCTTGTTGCCCCAGGCGCCGGCCGGCTCCTGGGCGCTCTCCAGGCAGGCGGCTTTCTCCGGGAGTGGAGGGAAGGCATCCTTGTAGGTGGGAGGGTCGCTTTCCTCTTCTGCGTTCAAAGTGGCAACTGCAGCGGCAAAGGTGAAGGCAGTGAGCCCGGGCCTGGCCCAGCACAGCACAGGGCGCCCGGGCGACCTGCTGCAGGCTGTGTGGGCACAGGCCTGGACCCCGGGCGCTGCCATGGCCTCTGCAGGCCCACGGGCAGCAGCACCCCACCCCACTGCCACACCAGAGCCGGAGGAACCCGGGACTTGGCCCCCAGCACCTCGGTCAGCAGAGCCAGGGCAGCCGGAGAGGGGACAGGGCCAGCCCGGCCCCGACCTTGTGCTGATCCAGACTCGGGAACTGGGGCTCAGTCACAGGAAGACTCTGTCAGCCTGGCCCAACTTACAGCAAGCAGCACGAGCTACTCTTGGGCATTCATGAAAGCTAGACACGGACCAAGAGCTCCAGATGAAAACAGACGCTCAGAGCCACTTCTACGTACAGACACACCTAACAGGCTCTGGGCAGAGTGGGGGCATCAGACAGCAGGCTCCCACTGTACCCGAGGCTGGACAGTTCTGTCTGGGCTCTGCTGACCGCCTGGGGGGCTTGGTCAGTCCCTCCAGGTAGGCTCGGGGATCGAGAGCTTGTTTCTGGGCCACCCCAGGTGGTGCTCAGGGCTTCCTCCTGGCTCTGTGCTCAGTTATGCCTCTTGGCTGGGACTGGGGGACCTGACGGGGCTGCGCCCAGGTCTGCCGTGAGCAAGGGAAGCAGCTCCCCGCTGACATACGGTAGCTCGTGGCCCCTCAGAGGCAGGGCACTGGCCCTCCCGAAGCCCCACGGCTGGCCAGGGAGGGGGAAGCGTCACCTCTGATCTGCTGTGGAACCAGCCCACTTCGGTGTTCAGCAAAGCTCTCTTGCGTCAGGACTGCAACGGAGCTCATGGTTGACCCTGAGCCTGCACGTAATCCGGGTGAGCCACTGTGGGAGGAGGGAGGGGAGCACAGAGAGGGCTGGTCAGCCGTGGCCTCCGCGCCTGTCCCGGGAATGCCCCTTCTCCTCCTCTGCCCCTGCACAGACAGGGTCTCGGGACGGGGCCCCCCCCCGCAGGTGGAGTGCGAAGCCCGACTGGCGCCCGGCCGAGGAGTGCGGCTCCAGAGAGCGCGGAGGGAAGGAGACGCAGCCCTGCCCGGTCCACGGCGGTGGGTGCGTGTGTGCGTGCGAGGGAGGGGTCAGAGGCCACTGCACGGAGGGCCAGATACTCACCAGCAAAATGGTCAGTAGCCAGAAAGTCCGTCCTGAGGCCGCCTCTGTCAGCCGCCAGCTTTTACTGGGAGAGGGAGAGAGGGGGAGAGGGCCGATGAGAAGAGGGCAGGGAGGCCACCAGGAGCGCGGGAGCACGAGCAGGCGGCCGGCGAGCCCAGCAGCCCTCCAGGGACGGGGCTTCCAGGGGCCGCGGGGAGGCGATGGCCCCAGGAGCGAAGCGCCCTTCCCAGCACCGCTCCAGAGGCAGGAAAGAGGCGGGAATGTGGGCCAAGGGGCCTTCCTAAGCCTTTTAGGGAAGCGGAGTCCTGCGGGGAGCACCGAGTGCCCACGGTTCCCTCGCGGCTGCTGTCAGCCCATGACACCTTCCTGGCCTCTAATCCAGCGGGATTTAGCAATCAGGCCATGAAACCGCAGGGCTGGGAGGAGCCTCCCCGGCAGGGCAGTGCAGGGAAGACCAGGGGCCTGCGAGGGCCCCTGCCTGGGGGACTGCAGGGCAGCGTGGCGGCCAGGCCGTCCCAGCCACCCTGAGCAAGCACCATCTCCCACCCAGAAAGGAGGCTTACGCGGGGCGCACGGCCGGGGCCTGGGCGCCAGGACCCTCTCCCCGGTGGCCGGCAGTAGACTCTGACCCCGAAGGCTCAGAGCAGCGCCGCCCCCGCGCTCCCCAGCACTGGCCCTGGCCTGGCCGGCCGCCCCTCCCCCGCCCCCTCGGGTCAGCACTGACCCCACCCCCAGGCTGCGCTCACCTTTCAGAAGCAGCCCAGCCAGTCTCCCCAAGCCTCCCACTGAACCCCGAGGGCCAGGGCCGCTGGAGCCAGAGGCGCCTGGTGGGAGGGCAGGCGCGGTGCCCAGCAGGCCAGCCCCGAGGGCAGCGTGCCACACTCGCACGCACCACGTCCACACGCAGGACGCCGGCTCCGGCACCTGACTGGCCGGGAGCAGCGTCCAAGAACCCGCGTCTGCCGGCTTTAAGGATCTTACGGCTCTCAGGGACGCCCGCAGGATCCCCCTGCCGCCGGGGCAAGGTCTGCCTCGCGGGGACGCTCACACCCCAGCCCGGTCCGACTGGACTCCCTGCCGAACTTCAGCCTCAATCGACCGCCAGGGAGGCCGTGCTCCCGGGCCCAGGCTGCCCCACCCGGGGGGCCCGGCACGGCTGGTGGGGGGCGCCTCTGGCAGCCGGTCCCCCACGACAGCGCAGCCCCGGCAGCAACTCCGACTTACTCTCCGGCTGCTGCCCCAGGAAGTGTGCGCGGCCGCGGCCCAGGCCGACTGCCTACGCAGAAGTCAGAGCACAAGTCACCCAGGACGCCGGCGGCGGGCTCGGCCGCCCCGCAACCCCACCGCGCGGCCCTCCCGGGAAGCCCCTCTCCTGCAGACGGCGAGCGCGGCTCGGCAGAGCCAAACTCGGAGGGAGAGTCCGGCCGGCGGCAGGCAGGGCGCAGCAGCAGGAACTTTCGCAGATGCCACCTCAGCACGGCCCGGCCCTCCCACCGGCCACGCGGCTGCGGGCGGGGACAGGCTTAAAGGGGCCGAGCCGCGCCGCACCTCCCGCCCGCCCCGCTTTTCCGTGCCCGCTCTTGCCCACTCCTACAGGGCAGGGGGCGCCGGCGGGTGCAGGGGGGGTGTCCCTCCTCTCCCCTCCCCTCCCCTCCCGCCCCTCCGCGTTGCTGGCGGGACCCCAAAGTTTGTGGCGCGGGTGCCCCGGCTGAGTGCAGGAACGCGTTGGCGGCGGGGGAGGGGGCTGCGCTCACCGACCCGCACCCCGCCGACCCCGCGGGGGCTTCCTGGCTGCCCCAGACTCTGTCCCTCTGTCCTCTGTCCTCCCGTCTGTCCGTAGAGCCCGGGGCCTGGAGCCAGCGGCCGGCCCGCGGCTTTACAGGGCGGCGGCTCCAATCCCGCAGAGACACGTCAGGCCCGGCCCGCCCGCTCCGCGCCACCGTGCCTGGCCCGCCCGGCCAGGGGTCCCGCCCCGGCCCGCCGCCGGCCAGCAGGGCCACACTGAGACCAGAGGCTGCATGCCCCTCCCCGGCCCAGCCCGCCCTTCCCCGGGGAGCCAAGAGGAACGTGGGCCGACACAGTGGCTTCTGCCAGGGCAGGCGCCTACAGGAGGGAGACTCGTGTGTGTGTTCCTGTGTGTGTTCCTGTGTGTGTTGCAGGGGATGCGGGCACCAACTAAGGTTCTGGTGCCACACTCAGGCGTGCACAGAAAGTGTGAGTGTAGCCACGGACAGACACTTTCCGGCGCCAGTCACACTCAGCATGCACAGAACATGCCAGAAGCCTGGGCTTGGCCCGGGGTGAGGAGGGACCTGCCTCATCAGGAGCCCGACCCCACGGGAGTGGAAGGCTCTGGGCCGTGGAGGTTTGCTCCGTGGCGCTCCAGGTGGCTCACCAGGCACGCAGGGCAGAACACAGGACACGGCTGATGCGCAGCCACCTGGAGCCCCGAGCACCGTGACGGGACAGTCACCGGGCAGCTGCGCTGACGTTGGGTGCAGTGAGGGAGGCCGGCCCAGATCCCGGAACGGCTCGAAATCTAACTTCTTTTGACTTTTTTGGTTTTCGGACCACACCAGGCAATATTCTGGGGGATACTCCTGGCTCTGCGCTCGGAGCCACTCCTGGCAGTGCGCAGGGAGCCAAGTGGGACGCTGAGTACTGGACGGGTTGGCTGTGTACAAAGCAAGAGCCTTAAGGGCTGTACCACCTGATGACTTTTTAGAAGAAAATCCTCTCGGGTCTGAGCGCTGGTACAGGGGTGTAAGGGGCTTGCACCAACCCTGGTTCCACCCCTGACATGGCCAATGGCTCCCAGAGCTCTCCTAGGCGTGGTCCCTGAGCACAAAGTCAGGACTATCTGGTATAACCTCAAAACAAAACAAAAAGTAACTAGAGACAGAAGATGGCATTAAAAAAGTCAAAGTTGGGCCTCAGAGAAGTCCAACCTAGTCGAATAGGGCTTCTAGGTAAGATACAAAGAAACCAAAGAGGCAGAAGCATGTATACAGCAATAAGTACCACAGGCGCCTATATAGACACAGAGAACAGAAGCCCCCTACCCAACAATCTCCTCCTCTCCCCACGTGCAGAATTTTCAGCAGTTTTCTCCTGAGTCCAACACGGAACACTAGCGTGAATTCTCAGAAGGGCAGAGGTGCCCTCCGAGGGCCACAGGGCAGCCTGGCCATCACCGCCCAAGGGGCCAGCTCACTGGTGGAGGCAGGAGGGGAGAGGCTGGCGCAGCCCAAACCGGCAAGAAACCGGCTCAGGAGAGTGAAGACGGAGACCTGCCTAGAGCCTGGCGATCAGAACCAGGCTGACCCGGAGGAAGGCAAGAGCTGGCTGGACCCTGTAGGGCCATACCACTGGAAGCTAGATACTAATTTTAGTTCACAACAATGTGTTAACCAAACGGAGATGGTTAGAAATGGAAAGTCTGTCTCTGCTCTTCAAAGGTGAAGAAATACGAGAATCAAAACCAAAGGTGGATTCAGGGACTCCGGAAGGAATCGCCGAGAAAGCACTTACCAACCCAAGCCATCAGGGAGCTTTAGTGGGCCCTGACAAGGACCAGGGAAGTGTGCGCTCACTTAGGCTCTCAAAAGCAAACGTCTAAAAAAATCTGGCAGATTGGTCCCCCGAGCACTGCCAGGAGTCATTCCTGAGTGCAGAGCCAGGAGTAACCCCTGTGCATCGCTGGGTGTGACCCCCCCAAAAAAGAAAATCTGGCAAACTGAGTCTTAACCAAATAATGTGCAACAAGAAGATCAGATTTATTCCAATGCAACGGGGCAAAAATAATTTATCCTATTAAAATACTCAAATAATTAGATCTAACTTCCTCATTCCTGATAAAAATCTGGAATAAGGACCTTTCTCACCCAGATGGTGGCACCTGAAAGGTGTGTTCAGGGCAGGATGGAGCCTGTGGTACAGACCTTGCCCTCAGGCGCCTCCACGGGGCGTGAGACCACACCTGCACTGTACTGGGGATGTGGTGCTTGGGCCGCCCCCGCACTGCTCAAGGCCATCACTCTGTCCTGGAGCATCCCAGAGTCTCAGAGTGAAAGGCACTGAGGACTGGAAACAACACAAGGGTGAGCAGCCACCCACAGGAGCCAGGAGGACCCACACCATACCGGCCCAACACATCCGCCAGGAGGACCTGGAGATATCACACCCGGCCAATACTGCCCCCTCCCCAGACAGGCCAGCAGGTCACAAAGTCCAGTAATGGATCCCGAAGAGACTGAGCATTAAACAAAAACCAAGCCAAAACGTCAGCCCACTGGAGTCAAGATTTATGGAAAAATACTATAAAATACGCCTGGAAAGCTCCCTGTGGCGTATTTGACATGCCAAATACAGTAACGACAATAGATTTTATTTCCATGACCCTGAAAGAGCCTCCAATCGTTGGGAAAAGACAAGTAAGAAGAGGCTGCTAAAATCTCAGAGCTGGGAGGAACAGAGATGTCACTAGCGCCCGCTCGAGTGAATCGAAGACCAACGGGATGACAGTGACACAGTGATCATAAAATCCTATCAAAATACAGAAAAACAAACATGGGAAAGCGCCATGTTCACTGAAACAGGTTAATCATGAAGACTGCGATTCGCCCATAATTCGGACTAAAAGAAAATTCAACGCAATGTACATCAAATCCCAACGAAGGAGCACACGTACAGGCAGGTCACACCGGACTTTGCACGGTTCCTGCTGGCACTACTTCTTCACCTGATGTCTGTCACATGAAACAAACGCACACACCAACTGCAGAGAAATGGCCACAGTGAAGACGCCGCCACGCCTTGGGCAGGACGGCAGGCCCCGTGCGCTCTCCCCGCCAGGACGCCTCTCACTGGACTCACACAGGACCCGGTACAGAGACAGGTCTGGTCACCACTGCCTCCTCCTGGAAGCCAGGCGGGCACCCCGCGGGGTAGGAACGACCCCGCAGCACTGTTAGGAGCGGCCGCCACTGGCAACACCTGGGGAGGCTGCCCAAGTGGGGTCAGGCGTCTCACCGCTGCAGCCAGACACCCGCACGCCCACTGCGC